CAGGCAACCTTTTTATGCAGCGTTTGACTATTCCCAAGGAGCCAGCATATTTAAGCGTCGAAAAACACATTTCAAGGATTGTTACTAAGGTGGAAAAATGATTAATTTTCAACACAACGCTGAAAACTTAGGACCATGATTTCATACCTCACATTAGAAATGAGGTAACTAACAGCTTCCTTAGCGACCGGCCAAGGGTCCTGTTTCATGTTCGAAATATCTTTGGAGAACTTTGGGTAGACGTAAGCGGCAATAGTCTCCGGCACACTGTACGATGACATTAGCTTTCTCGTGTGATCGAATGGAACACTTTCTAAATAAGTGAAAGTGCACATTACGGACGAGCTCCATACTAACTGTAAAGGCCCTTACCGTCACTTTCGCTCAGTGATCGATGGTCGTCGAATAAGTCGCTAACAGAGAAGACGAAAAACCTTTCCTATAAACAGACAACGTAACAAGCTGAGTCAGAAAAGTACGATCGGATCGATCGCCAAGAGCGCCAAGCGCACGTTTCGCTTCTTACCTCACATATCAGGCCGTGAGCTGACGTCGATGGTAGGTACAGCAACGCCAACGGCCGCAGCTCCACCTGAAAATATTCGAACACTATACCTTGCAAAAAGACTGAGCGGACACCTGCATACCTGGTGGTACTGGGTGCAGCATGACAACAGATTTTCCATGAAAGCCAACTGAGCTGCATTCATCTTCGAAGTCTCGGCGCCACAGCTAGGTGCCACTGTCGATCTGTTGTTGTCGAAGGATGCCGAACCCAGTGTGGTAGCGTATTTCATGACTTCACTCTTCATCGCCTGCACATCTGGTGAAAACGCGAATTTGGTACCACAGCAGACCTGTAAAAGGAAAGAGTGGAATGTATTTTTTCACAAAGACGCAACGAAGACAGAAGCGCTTATAAATGAAAGAAAAAAATTCCCAGGCCTCGATACAGCAAAGGCAGGAACAGCAGCAAGGAAGACAATCTACTGGTGAGACAACAGCTATACTGCCAATTTCGCTTGGTATAACGATTGATTAAGCGGTAGTGGAAATGTGGTTGTCTCCATGTCAATCAGAAATGCACAACGGTCCATCGTTCGTCTAGTATAAGAGTGCCAGGAGCGCACCTAAATCAACCACCAACAGGAGCCACGACTTTAAGATATATAATTCGACCATGCCTGTTTACATGGCATTGCGGCTCTGACCGATTATGCTTGACGAATGGGGCAGACATTTAAGAACACCATGCATTCAGTACTGCCGGTGAATACCTCCTTAATTATGCTTACCCGAACAGACTTCAGTATGACCTTGGGCGAAAAAAGACTTCGCTCAAAGATGAATTGCAAAGCGGTCGTCAAGTCACAAGTAGAGAAATTAGTGACTGTGCGGTGGCCGCCATCGCTGTCGAACGAAATCTGTTTCCACTGTGCTTGACAAAAGGAGTCGCTAAAACTTCATTTGTAAACCACGGCTAAAGAATTAAATGTTCGCCAGAGGCGTATTTTACAGATGCAGCTGCTTGGAGTAAACAACTGGTTTCTGTCCATCGAACCACAGAGTCCAGAAGGTGACGCTGGTTTGGCAAAAGTCGATCAGTTCCATCTGAAAATGAGAGCAGGGTATGATGCAACAAAATTTACATTTACGTGTTTTACATCGAACGCTTCGAAACACAACAACTTGTCCAATCGCGAGGAGGCGCTGTTCACCGACAAAACAAAGAACTAAACAAAATGAACTGCATTTTAAAAAGACGAGAAGCAAAGCATGACTCCTACCTGACTGATATCCTCTACGGAAACAAAGACCGTAAGCAAAACCTGGCCGGAGATTTCGAAAATCTTAATACGCCATTTATCCACTAAAATATAAATAACATGGCAATGATTAATTCATTCGATTCAATTCAATCACTTAGGTGGCCCTGAAGTAATACTAGTTGCACATATGGTTAAAAACAGCATATACGGAGAACACTGCAAGTGGAGCAGGGGATTAAGCTCATAATGGCAATGACATTATCTGCTAGTATCAAGTCTACCCTATAGAAGGAGATTTTCACAATCCTCTTGTACAGAACAACTGACGGCCAACGGATCATCTGACGATTCCGGTTCAACAAGTATTTCTATAATACATTCTCCTAGTTTCCCGTCCCCTCTATTTCGCTGCAGAACCAAGAGAAAGACTGGTTTTCTGCAGTCTTGGTGCCAACATAGAAAGAGTCGACACTTCAACGCATACACAGATAAAATATTCATCAATGAACGACGGTTCAGTTATTTTTTTGAAACAAGTTTATTACAAATTCCCAAACGAATGAGGGAACTTTTTTTTTGAACCTGCATTCTAATTACAAATGCTTCACCAATACACGTCAACTTCAGTCGATTCCGAAAGCTGTGGACAGAGCAGATCAGCTGTCTTACACGAATGTTGTAAACGTCGTGGTATATCAGACTGCGAGCTATATTGCAAAGATTGGTAAATCTACTTCACTCGATCTTATTCAAGTTTTACACCAGAAACTTTCGAAATGCACCTGTAGGTCAAATTCCACAAGGACTCAATATGTCTGCATCTACGGAATAACTCAAGAATACAAAAGTCTGTGACTCGGAAACCGCACAGTCAAGAATGGTAAAAGCGTAATCTGATCCAATCTGTCAACAACTATACATTTAGACATTCGGCTGCATCAACATTCTAACTGCTAGTCCATTTCGTCTTCATCACAGTCTGTTCCTTTTCTCATTGATCTGTATTTTGTTTGTTCTTGTACATCATATGTATATTATTATACCAGTGACTACTGAAATGTTAATCAGCGCTAGGTTTAAATGCTATTTTCACTAATTGAAGCATTAAACTCTTGAGTGATTGGAAGATGCGAGTCAAGAAATGCACCATTTGTCAATTCGCATGAATTGGAGTTAAAGAACTTATCGTAAAAGAGTTGGAATCTCGACGCAATGATCTGTCAGCGCGGGAGTCAGATTTTAATGAATGGTTGTATCCAGATTGGTCGTTCCTTTGACACTGGCCTCGGCGATTGAATCTATTAGATTCCCTAAGTCGTAACTACGCGGAGGACTCAAAAGTTGGAGCAGATGTCGAATTTGAAGGTAAAACCTTTCCTTTAAGCTTCCAAAATAAATGGAATAAGGTACGACAAAATGCATGCATGCGAAAAATACCTGACGCGACAGGAGTTGGTTTAAGTTTTATGCATGTTTGCTTATTCATACACAGAAATTACATGAATTCTTCATGTGGGTGCAAAGTTCTTGATTATCAACAACGTGTTTCATCAGCAACATCGTTTCAAAGTGTTTACTTCGTATACAAGTGTCATTTAACATGATTCCGACGCTTCCGACCAAACGTACCAACGGTAATTATGCCAAACAAAATTTGTGTACGGTGTAAACCTCTTGAAAAGCCTGAGCGATGAACAACTAAAATCATTAATGATCTTAAAATCAACAACAAACAGTACTCCTAAAAATCATTAGAAATAAATATGGCTCAAGACTTTCGTTTCTGGGTTCATAGTTAAACCGAGAGGTTCAATTCACCAATTCATGGTTCAGAACACCAATCGACAACGCGTTTTGATATACACACCGTAGCAGCATCAGGGCTAGACACAAACAGCAGCTTGAAAACCTCATTCAACAAGCGAACAGTATGATTGTTTCCTGATGGAAACACACTTATCAAACAAAGCGACTGTCAGACGCATGACCAACATAAAACTACAATGTTAACTAATTATAAAGTTATATTAAGCTCACATTTAAAGTCGAACTGCAATCAGACCTTGGTTAATTTGACTCGATCTTAAATATCAAATTCGTGATTGTGTCCCAGCTTTCACTAATAACGACGGAGGAAGTCTATTTATTGCACAACCGGTAATTCATTGCCATTATATAAAAAGACCCCTTAATTCGAAGACCTAGTTTAGAATGATCTTTGACAATAACAGACACACGGGTCTGACTGAACGAGTGTTCTCCAGAGATGGCGTACTGGATAATACCAGAACTGTAAACCTGAACAACGGCGATGCAGAGAGGTGCTCCTTGATCGAGACATTCGAATTGCGGTAGGTCCTTTCAAACATGCACCTTATCGCATTCTCCGCACTGGATTCTGTATACAAAATTTAAAGCTTTTTCTGGGTTAACAGGCATGTTCATATTGAATAAAATATTTCCAATTGTTATGTCTTGTAGAAGACTCTAAACCCCACGTCGGTACCTCTTGATACATTGAAATAAGCGGACGAAGAACAGTAGAATTACAACTGATCTATGTGGACAAGTCATTCTTAAGTTAGAGCTGAGGTGCAAAAGTTCATCGTCAAGTATCCTTCACTGGTAACCATTCTTTAGTACCTTTTGCTATAGATGTTAAATTTCAAAGTCAAGGCCGGAAACGATATTACAGGTTTCCTGGGCACATAAACGCATCTTATTCACAACTTTCTTAAGCAAGTCGGAAGAAACACATGAAGTCGGATGCAGGTTTCTGATAGAGGGAAACCTCGAATTCAAGCAAAGGTGTCTGCTTCACCAGCACTTCCTGGAAAGATATTGAGTGAGCTTCAGTAGTGAAACGTATTCGGCCACTGGTATCCCGTCCAATCATATAATCTACGAAGCTTTCCAACACTTTCAGTTCGTCCTTATTTCGTTGGAATAATAGGAAAATGTCATCAAAGAAATTATTGCTTTATCGCTTTGTAATCAGGAAACAATAATGCCGTTCTTTAATTCGATATAAGGGCGTTCAAGCACATGTCAATAAAAATGATTTGAATCTAAAAGTTATAAATTGAGGCATAAAAAATGAGGCATCAGGATGTTGTAATATCTGAAATATTAAAAATTGCCATACCAAAACAAAATGCTTCAGACTTTGACCTGGAAAAATGTTAGTACAGCTGACTCATAAGCATTAACTCATTTGCAACTTCGGGAACAAAGAATGAATGCCGTTTTACGTTAATCTTCACCTCTCTGTCTTTCATGTCTCGTATGTTCTCTGTTACTGCATATTCAACACTTAAGTCAGTCATAATCCAGTTATTACGAATTCTGTCCAGCGAGAGAATCGTTTAATTTTCCACATGAATTAGGAATTTGAAATAAAACAGAAATAAGAAACGCCATATGAATTCAGAAGGAAGAGAAACCTTTCAATACCGTCAGAGGCGTTCATTGGTACTACTCCCTTGTCGACTGGCAGATGCGCCGACAGAACGCAAGAAGGTGAGCATTCTTTGTTGCCCTAAATCAATATGTAACGAAGAACAAAATTTATTTAAATAGCCCTACGCCGTGAGACCACAGCTGCACCCTTCCGTCGCGAGACACTACACAGAATAGAACTTCTGTATTGCGCTGATGAACGGCAATATCGACCACTGTTTCGCCTGGTGACGGTTCAGAGTGGCCGAACGGCAACAGACTTGACCACGTTCTCCTTACAGAAAAACCTCGACACAGCAGCGTCTGAGTAGGGGTGCCTGAAGAAATATTTCACAATAACAGAATCAAAAATTTTTCAAATGCAGCAGAAAGTGTATTAGACAATGTTTAACTACATAATAAACATCAACATTAAATCTTAAATAGTGTCAGTCACATATATGCATAACGTATAATCTTTGACTTAAACATCAAACAGTTTTGCGCATAAATGATAATAACCGCCTGCACAATTCACGCAATAGAATCCCTTTACAGTTTAAACTGAAGTCTTTACCAGCTCACGAATTTTTAAAACATCCGGTTCAATTAATCGTTTGATTTAATCCTGTGCTGCATAGAGAAAATGTAAACTTGTTAAACGACGAATATCCGTAAATAACTTCTGTGATTCGTGCTATATTGCGCTACAACATATTATTCGCATCCATATTATAACCATTCATCATCATCATATAGCTAATTATATAGATCAATTATATAGATCAAGCTTAACCAAGCAGACAAAAAAAAATTTTAAGCAACCTACACTTTTGTGATGCGGCTAAAACTGAAGACAACTTAACGAAATAAATCATCAACTTAGTCGTAATAGTTTATAGTATAACATAACGCATAAACACAAGCCCTATAACTGATATTATCGTTTTCTTGCGCTATTAAATTAAAGAAATACGCTCTTCGGGCATGCCACCTACCGTAGCAACGAAATATTCCCGTGAACAAGAATTTTGTCTATTTGCTGTAGTCATAGTATTGTGATTAGGCATAAACCTGGTTGTATTTTGATTACCATACTCTTTTTCTTCCTAGCATCCTAAATAAATTTTGCCAAAGATCTCTTGCCATGAAACAACTACAAAATATATTAAGAGGACCCACAGGTTTCATAGCCAAACACATTCTTCAACTCACTACGCTAACTTTGGCGTGAGCAGAAATTAATAATTCTCCTTATTCAAAGGTGGTCATTAAGCATCACTATTACTGATACAGAGAGACACTAAAATAAAAACAGTACTTTGTTATAGTTACACGTACCCTGTGCCAGATATGGTGGCATAGTTATCAGTAACACGGAACTATCATCCATTCCGACCAGAAACAGCGCCTCGTCGTCTTTGGAGACAGCGCAAGCGGAGACAACAGGCATGGTATTGGCCGGTAATGAAAGTAAATATTTATTCGACGGATCAAGCATAGCTTCATAATTGAAAGAGCTAAGCACAGACGTTCGTTGCAAAGTGTCCGTTTCCGCACCCTAAACAGTAAGTTTCATTGTTATCAATGTACAAAAGACCATAAAATTTTTTTTTAGAATACATACAGTGTTTAACAATGTTAATAATTAATACTGCTAATAATTTATAATCTAATCTTTGGATAAATTAAAAAATAATGGGATGAATCAATTTATAAACGAATGATCTACCGTCAAATCAAAATTACAGCATATTATACCGCAATCTATACGTCCATCGTAAAATCGTAAAAAATAATAA